GGTAGTAGGAGTCAAGTTTGAAGAAAAGTAGTGAAACACCCCGTGGAGTCTGTCTATATAAAACCCCACGTATGTGAATAAAGCTGGATTATATGTCTAGATTTAGACATCTGCAAAAGTTTTGCTTTTAGGCTCAAATGTAACTTGATTTTTAGCTTCTTTGCAGAGCATATGAAAAGCATTGCAGGTAGTCCAAATTTTCTTGTTTTCCTGCATTGAATTAGCCTGGTTAAAACCAGACCCTTGTCCTTCACTTTGCTTCATACGAGGGTCTGGATTCTYGGCTGTAGTGAAGCGATCCTTGATGGAGGCGTGGCCTCTGCTGAGGTTTAAAACGACTGGATCGGTTGGCCGCGATGTATGTCGCTGTGAAGGAGGCTAAACTAAGAAGCTAACCGGAAATTGTGTRTGCTGTAAACCCGAGAGGAGAGAAGTACCGAGCCGAACAAGACGACTGTAAATGAGAGCTGCTGCTTTRTCAGACAAATTTAATTTAATATGGAAGCCTTATCARCACAGACTGKCTTCATTCACTTCCTCCACTGCCGTATGCTAAACTAACTAGCAGACACTGCACAGAAAATCGACATCGTTCAAAACTCCTCCTTCTGTTTGCTGACTGGCCCAGGTAAAATAAACTACAAGCTGACACTGCACAGAAAATTGACGTTCTGTTCTCTGATTGGCCTGGACAAAAATTCTCCCGAAGAAATCCTTGTCTATGGGAGAAATCCCAGACGGAGCAGTGAAGCAAAGCTAGAACTGAACAGAACTGCGTAGGAAGGCAAGGGCCAGGCTAGTATTGAATACTTACTTGCATGAACCTGCGTGCCACAAATTTTACAGCGGACCAGAAGACTGGTTCCATCCTCTCCGATGTAACAGTTGGTGGGTGGTGGCTCTGTGTTTCCTGCTCCAACACTGAAGCAGATCTCTGGGACCAGTGGACGAGTGAAACTGCCAGGTCTGGGTTTCATGGCGATGAGTGCTGAGTTACATGCAACGGAAGGATCTTGCTGTGGTTTGAGAGGTCAGAGGATTAAAAAAAAGAGCCTTTACATGGTAGGAATGAAAGTATTGATATATATTTTATTGCAGCAGTGTGTGTCCGAACCTTTTTGTAGGGACAGAAGAGTGAGCAGACAGCACAGTAGGGTTCCAGACCRGCCACTGCAGCATTGAACGTCCTCTCTGCCAAGAAGTTGGGTGAGCGATTCTGCCACAGGTGCTGCTGTTTCTTCATGCTGCTCTCTAGTGACATTGGGGAGGACAGCCCTGTGGACAAAAATAAAAATGCGTGAGTGCTGGTATAAAAATCCCTTTTAATTTGCRCCGACTGAAGATGTTAAAAAATTCATTTTGTGTAACGATTTTTTTATCCACTAAATTGCATAAAGCCTTTTTTTTGAGAACCTCCTGAGGGAACCTTTACAAAGAAACAAGAATAGCTCACGCTGCTCGAGGGCAACACCACTGCTGGCCCTGATATAATTGGTGATGAACACAAACAGCACAGGCATCAATAATTTGCTAGTCTGGGTCAGAATCAATTTTGCGGCATAGCCCTCAAGCTACTGATCCACAGTGTTTGTTGGACCTGGACAAAAGTCAGTTTCCCCGCCCCCACAAAATTCGCCCGTTAAACACTTGTCTTTTTTTTCCCCCCCTCACCATCCACCTTTCTGAAGGACAGGCTGAGTCGGGTCCCCGGCTACCAACTTAAAGTGACTTTGAAAGCAGGTAATTGGAAGTCATGATCTCTAGATCAATAAGTGTCAGTCAGAAAATGGGAAGAAAAAAAAACACAGAGGGAAGCGAGGAGGCGGGAAAGAAGTCCTGGCATCTTGATTTCATTATTCTTAGAGGGAGCTTTAGTCCTGCTTGTTTTTCTTTCCTCGGATCAATAAGAAAAACAACAAATGGTGTCGTCCTCATTTTTACAGGTGTGATGGAGAGAACCRGGACAAACAACTATTGTAAAATAATGCCTAAGAACAGAAAAGGATGGGTCTCTTAAAAGTTGTTTGTGAGAAAAATTATTTACATTTTTTTGTCTTGTATTTAGGTGGGGTGGGTTATATATTTTTCCAGGTACATACAGTACTGCTCAAAAGTTTTAAAACACTCTAATTTTYCCAGCTCAAGTCCAACGAACAGCTTTGAAAGGGTACGTGTTTTAAAGGACAAGTGCTGAACTACCAGAGGTTTAACAAAAATGTAAGGTTACCCAAGAGTCAATGTGTCCCACTTCAATATGTCTTTACAACAATGCTTCAAGGGAGGGGGTGATCTGTGGGTCGGGAGCTCGGCTGGGGACTGAGCTTTAGGGAGGAGCTTTGTGTAAATAGGCGGAGCTTTGTCCCAGCAAGCATTTAGACAGCTCCAAACGGCTCCCACAGAAGATTCAAGGATTTCTCAAACATGCATGAATGAGTCAAAGCAACAGCCTGGGTATGTTTTTGATGAGGGGATGACATTCTAACATGATATATAAAGCTTAAAAAAGTTGATTTTGCATAATACCCCACCACCACCCATCCCCAAAAGAATAACCCATTAAACACTTGTCTTTTTTTTCTATCTTCAGCTTCAGAAACGAAGTCCGGTTAATTATTTATATTTTTTGAGAATAAAAATTGCATACCTCTCTCTGCCATCGGCTCTTGCTTGACGATAGACAGATGGGTGCGCATCGGTGGCTTGCTGAGTGGGTGGCGCCGACTCTTTTTTACCTCCGTAGGCATTTTCATCTTGGGGAAGCTCGACTAGTAAAAGAAAAACGGATCCATGTTGTTCATTTTATTTTAATATGATTCATCTTCACAATGTGCAAAATTATTTTTTAAACTTCTGAATTATTTTAAAAATTCTACTTGACAGATAAATTTTCAACTGTACCATTAACAGTTCGATAAATTAGTTTTTATCCCAGACTAATGAATAAATCATCAAGACTTGATCACGTCTGCTCTCACCTGGGTGGCATTCGTGAACATTTTTCTCTCTGCTGGGATTTCTCTATGCACTGAAGATGTGTCTGAATAAATGGCCATGTTCTTCTGTGGGTTTTCAATGTCAGATGTAGCAAACTCTTGAAATGCTTCTTCAAATCCTGACACGGGCTTAAAGTCACCCATTTGGATTGGGAACATGCTCTTCTGCTGTTTATGTTTCTTTTTCTCAAAGTCTTCAATCAGGTTCTGTGGTTTGATGTCCAGTTCTTTTGTGGTCATAAAGAGAGTGAGAAGAGCAGAAATGATTAATCCGTTTTTTATCCATTGCTGGAAAGTTAAAATAAAACTGTTGATTTTAATCCAATTTTAGTCATTATGATTTATCACTTTGTCTGAACTTTAACTACAGCCTAAATATTCATATCCTCCTCACCTTCCTGAGCTTCTGGATTTTGTGCTGCTTTAGCGGCAGCTATTTTTTCCTCAAATTCCATGGCCTCCAGGGTCATCATGGCCTCTCTGGCTAGCCTATCATCCCTCTCCTGCCTGCGCTGAGCCTCGCGCTCCTCCACTTGGCGTTGGTAGTCGGCAGCATTTAGTTCAATACCTTCCTCTGCCAGCACCTTTACCTCCTCCAGCTTCAGGCGACGGACCTGCTTCATCTTRTGCATTGCTCTGAAACACACCAATCGTCAAGTCAGTCTTTCAAACAATGTCCAATTTATATTTGAKGTGTTATACTTTTACTTGAATATGTCACAGACAATTAAAAAAAAAAACACATATCGTAGTAAATATTGTGGTGTTCCACAAGTGTTGTATTTGTTGTGCATTGGTTATTTGATACGTTACCTTTGCAAAAGGTTTTGCCGGTAGGTGACTCGGTATCGTCTCCAGCGCTCCAGTTCCGGGCTCGTAAGCTCTGTGGGCTTCAGGTGGTCCAACACTGTAATGTCTTTGCCCTGTTTCCACAGTTCGTACCGGTCAGGCTGCAGGCTGCGCACAAACACATCCATCGAGATCTTCACCATGTCTTTCCGGCAAGAACACTAGAGAGAGAGAAAAAAAGCACAAAGAGAAGGAAATCYATGTTAGTGTTTTAGGTAAAAACATAAAGCAAACTCTATGTAACAAAGTCATCTTTGTCTCTATTCAGGCTGATCATGTGATTCAGTTTTGTTTACTTATTTTCCTGCTACGATTTAGATTTTTGACAGTGGAACAAAATTAAAACAAATTCTATTAGTTCATGCATTTCTTTTCAACTTTTCAACTTTATACATTAATTTTACAGTACCCTTGCCTTTTTATTATTATTATTA